ATCAGTATACAGCTATCCTTACTCAACGCGTCTATGTGTCCGGCAATCTCCGATACCGATCAACCTGTGAGCTTTCCGTATACAGCTTTCGTCACTCAATGCGTCTATGTGTTCGGCAGTCGCAGGCGTCACTCAACCCGTTAGGTCTCAACATGCAGCCATCCTCACTCAAAGCGTTTATCTATGGCGGGGGGTGGGGATAGAAACAACTGGTGGTTTGTGTTTATTCTGTTATCGTACTTTACGTGCGAATTAGCAACAATTCCCCCGCCGAATCCTATAACACGCCTCGGATCGGGTTTCCATTTCGACGCTTCTTGAAACGATATCACCGCCACCTCCTTCCCCCCTTCGCCACAACCCTCCCTACCCTCTCCTTTTTATTTAGTCTCCTGCTTCACCAATGGTACGTTGTATGTAAGTGTCACTAGTGGGATTAAATAGATTTACCGAACATGAAAACAACGGTTTGTTCCGGTTATACGTTCGATCTAGTAGCAATACCTCGATGTCGTACTGGTCTAAGTCGTTTGGTTTTCGCGTCATGATCATTCGCTCCGCCCCACGTGTTTCATATTGCCAACTCTTTCTGACACAACAACCCTGCGCGTCGAAGAAGAGGAAGAAAATAAAATAACACGACTACAGGTCCGTTCTCCCCGAGTATGAGGAGATGACGACTGAGCGTCTTTTCGCAGAGGGCCACGTGGCTACTGGCAGCTTCTTCATCGACCACAATCGGTTCGCGCAGGAGGCCGAGAAGTTCAACGATGTGACGATCGGAGGAAAGCGGGTATGGCAATGACAACCGAGCGGCCCCTCGACACTACACAACAACATCGTCATTGCCGACCACTTCCCCTCGCTATCCCCGTTGTTGATACCGCTGGGAGCATTGTGCAAGACGAGGCCGAGCACCACACGACGGTTCGTGAAACAACGAGTGCAATAGGACAAAAAAACAGTAAGGCGACGTCACCGAGATGGGAGAATGCGGAATGGCGGATGTTTATCACCATTCACGACCCGGCCGCGCCGTCGAACTTCATTCAACTGGAGATCGGAGTAGTGGATGGCAGCAAGGCCAAGGGTGGCCACGCCATAAACCCGTTCCGGGCTAAACCAGACGGTTCAACGGATGCCACTACATTCGACTGCCCGTCGCCATCCTACCACATTATGGACAGAGTGGGTACCGGCCACCACTCTCACGCGCACCACCAGGCGAAGATCGACACGAGCCTCCTTGCTGTACATGGAGCGGCTACGACGTTCGTCATTGACATGGACCCGATCAACCCTGACAAGTTCATCCAAGACGTCGACGCGATCGCAGGCCCCGTCCCTCCCCGACCCAAAAGCAGATGGGCGTGTCTTCTGGGCCGGAGCAGACAAGCGACAAGAACAAGCTTTACAAGGGGACCAACCTCGAAGCCTACACCGACGACCGGCGAGCGGAAGGTGAATGAAAAACGTTGGAAAAACTCCAAGCCCGTGGCTTTCATTGGGGGTTGATTAGAGTACTGTTTTATTTGCTTGTGCTCAGTCTTGTTTCTACGTAGTCAACGGTGCGAGGCCGTGAAGTTTACATACATCACTCGGTATTGTTCACCTTTGATCCTGGCTTCATGCTTAAAAACTGTTCTATTCAAGTTTGTGTCTTGTTGTTGTTGTTGTTGTTGTTGTTGTTGTTGTTGTTGTTGTTGTTGTTGTTGTTGTTCATGTGACTCTTTGGATGAAAAGCTGTGAATTGGTTCATCAAGTGTTGCCATTGTTGTATTGTTGTTGCTTTGTAGTCCAGTCATGTTCGCCCCCATCTTTCCCTCGTGTGAGAAGCACCCAACGCGAGCATGATATCATCGCTCCCTGTTCCACTGGATGTGTTGATACGGTTGCGTGCTACTTGATTGCGCCCTGCGGTTGTTTTTGTTGTTGTTGGTGGTGTTGGTGTTGTTGTTTCTACTTTGAATGAACGAATGAATGAGGGAGTGAGTGAAATGCTCGCGTGTTGCCTGAATGTGTCTGATTTCTCACTCGTCGGCATAACCGCCTCCTATTTGGCCGAAACAAATTCTCCATTGGAAGTTGACATGTTCGCGTCGGCATTCGTGCGATAACCTCAGGCGAAAAGGCATCACTCCTTCCTGTCATACCATACCCACAACGATTTAACGACGCGAATATTCCTCGCGTATGCTCATCGTTTTCAGTGAAATAACTCCCCAGCCTGTTGCATCAGTTGCAGGCGAGGAGGCCATCAAGAAGCGAAAAAAGGACATGGACAAATACACGGGCGATTGCTCCCGTGGAGGTGAGTTTATTTTCGGTTGTTGTTATCGTGGTTGTTCTTGTTTCCATCCTCTGCAACAGTTCCATTCCGACGCGCCAGAGTCTGTCATTGTGTGCCCCGCACCCCATGCACTCAAAGCATCCCCGCTACCTGCACCATGCAATGCATTGATACCGTGACTTGCAACGGACCCTTGTGAATGAAATGTCTCGCGGAGTATAACGCTGCCAAAGCGTGCTATTTGACTTTTAGAATGAAAATTTGACAGTCGATCGGACAGAACGTGATGCCTTTCGAGAGGATTGAGCCTTTCACCTCCGCCCGTCGCGCCTGTTGCAGGCTTTCCTGTTTGTGTTGTTATTGTTGTTACATCATCTGCTACACTTCCATTCCGCCCCCCGGCAATCAACTTGTGCCTCGCACCCCATGTACTCAAAGCATCCCCGCTCCCTTGTGCATTCGATGTGTCGATAGCAAGGCGTGCAATGGATCCTTCGAATGAGATGCTGTTGGTTGTTCAATATTGGGTACTGCTGGGGTGTAGGCTGTGCAAGACCAACTCTATTCTGCTGTGCATGTTTCTGTGACTGTAACCGTCAGGTGCAGACAGTCCAGGCGTCTGTGTGTCAAGTCATTTTCGCCCTCCCTTATCCGTGTGCGGCGCACACAATTGACTCTCGGCATCACCGCTCCCTACTCCATACGTAGAATACCTTGACGCCAAGGCGTGCAATGCTGTGGCCTCGGGGGCTACGATCAGGAGCCAGGGCGGTGGTATCGCTGAATTTGTCGAACGGGATGTTATTGTTATTGCGTCGAACGCTCCCATTCAGCTGCTACGAAGGAGTGCGTCCGGAAGCTCGTGTGCGGTTGAAAATTTCACAGAAGAGGCATTGTCACGAAAAAGAAAAATACCCCCTTCTTTTGCGTGCATTGGGGCAGCACTTTGCGTCCAGGTCGACCGCTTGTGTTTCTTTGATGTGTAGTCACTTTTCGTGTGCCTACGTTTGTGTATATGATCCCAGGCTTCGCAGTAGCATCACATAATATACAGCCATTTATTTCTGCTCGTCAGATGTTATTGTCGTCAACGCAAAAAGGTGCAACCTTGGGGACAGGGGCGAACCAGGTGGGATCCGCCCCGAGCGACGGTGCGGCAGCGAAAATGCGCAAACCCATCCCCGGCCAACTCAACCCCGTGAAGGCGCATGGCTTTTGCTTCGGCCTCGGGGCGGGTGGCGTTGGCCTCGCCCAGAAGCTGTACGACAAGTTTGCCAGCGAACACGGGTTTGAGGAAGGGCCAATTACGGAGGGCGGGTGCGAGACCCCAAACTTCAGCGAGGCGGGTGTAACGGAGGGCAAATCCAAGTGGGAGCACGATGAGCACGACAAACTTATCCTGCCCGTCCACAGCGGCATCAGAACTGACGGTCACCCAAGGTACGTAATCGGCGGTTGTGTCTCGGTGGAGAAGGTGAACGAGTCATGGCGACTGTGCCACTGGGTGCTGAAGTACATCCTCGCTAGGAGGATCGTGCCGAAGATCACACAGAACCAACGACACAACGGCGCTCCCGAAAAGAGCTACGCCAAGAGGAGGAAGGAGTGATAGGGTTCTCGTTTCCACCATGTAGATAACGCTCCTCCCGGATGCACATGGCCCCGATTGGATCGATCGGTGGCAAGCATACATGGCACCCTACGCCCACGTCGAATCACCGACACTTGAATCGGGTTATCTACCGTCTAGTAGAACACGAGAGTTTGCTGGGCTGCGCACGTCGATATCTGGATGCATGCATTCTTTGTGGGTTACGAATCTCCATTTTGGTGTGCAACGATTGCGCGAGTCTTCTCTCACAACTACAGACGGCGCAGCGTAGACCTCGAGTGTACTGCGATTCAGCTTATGAAATAGTCTAGATACCATTTTCCGTGTGTCATTCGACTGGTACATTTTTGGTTGTGTGAGAAAAATCGAAGTGTCACTTGGTTCCTTCAAGTAGACACAATCAATCATCTTCGAGTGACATCTTGATTGCCGCCTATACCAATGTAGGAAAAGAATCACTTGGAGCGAGAAAGAGAGAGGTGGTGTAGATTCAGTGTTTGTGTCCTCAATGGGGAATGGTTTGAAGGTTGATTTAACGATCACCACCCGATTGAATGTGATTTGTCTTGGATTATTGGTGATTTTACGGTTAGATTTCGACCATTTCGATTGACACGCGATCGGTAGCCGTCGAACAAATGTTGTTCGGCGTGTTCGACTTGTAGGTTCATCGTGTATGCGGGGGGGAACAATGAAACATTTAGGGGATCAAAATGCCATAATATTTTGGCTTTGACTGGATCAAAGGCAATCGTGGTATCACCCTTCCTCTCCGTGTAGCAAATTTCCCGGTCCGCACAACAACACAACCGTAGAACGGGATGGGAGATTGGTGGGCTGATGTATCATTAGCGGGACGTGTGAACCCTTTTGGATTTTGTCGTTGGTGGAGATTTGCCGATGTGTTACGCGTACCTCGGACGTTGAGAAGCCAAGACGTTGTATATGTGTACTCATTGAAGCGTCGCGAAAACGGTTCGAGTTGGCTGCCGCGAGGGAGCAATGAGCAGATTTACTTGCACAACCAACTACGTTTTTGCTTCGTGTTTACCGTATATGACACAAGATAACACACTCCCTGGACAGATTTTCAAAGCTCGATTACTCCACGACGAAGAGGATGCATAAACGAAACGATAAATAAATAAATAAATGAATTTTCTAAAAGCTCTTGACAAAACGGTTTCAACACCGCCGTTTTCGACGCTGTGCCTGTTCCTGCAGTTGAGAAATCGAGCTTCGAAAATCGGTCAAGGGGGTGTGTTATCTTGAGTCATATACGGTATGTCGTTGTTCCTGTGTTCGACTATGTCTTCTCGCTAGTGGCTGCTCGCACAATTTCGTTTAGGCTCCAAAAGTGACAACTCGATCAGAGACAACGTTGTGACACGGTGCGGAGATCCTCACACTCAGAAGCGGAAGGAAGCTTTGTTTCCGTTGTCAGCGCTATACACGCATGCCTGGCTGCGCCGCAGTGTTGCTGGAAAGCTTCCAAACCCACACTACTCGTTCGCTTCCTGTCTGGCCCACGAATTCGGTATTTCTTCAAATTTTGTATAATTATTTTTCGGTCTTTCGAGTTCTATGACACGATTACATTCATGTGAATTCTACCCCACCCTCCCTCGTACGATAATCCCCCCACGACCTGCAATGGCGGTCTTCAATCCCCTCTACCCTAATAACTGAACTTTTCCGCTGCAAAGCTGGCGACCAATGACCCACAACTACCCTGACCCACCCTACCAAATCCAAATCGTGTCCTTTGAATACCCGATAGGAAATCGCTGAGTGTAAGACCTTAAGATCACCAAACACGTGCCGACTACCATCCGTCGGCAAACGTTTCCTAGCTGAAATGTTGGCTGACTTGCTGAAACGTTGATTTATCTCTGCGGCCGGGAGACAGGAGGTGTATTTCATGCCGCGCATCCTCTTGAGACCTTCGATGAAGTGGTCGTACTCACACAACAACAGGACCCGGGTCAAAGCTCCCATCGTAACCTCTGATTCGTAGGGGCCACGTTTGCCTGGTGACAAGTCAGCATTCCCAGCAAGCTCCGCTAGGCCCCTGCCGGACACAAACGACAACGCGCAAGCAAGGACAAAGTAATTCGGGCGTGCCTATCTGATGATGGACTCCTTAATCAAGAAGTCGGGCGCCAAACGTTTGCATCCAAACTTCCTGTACCCATCTGACGTTCTTGTTTAAGGAGCCAGGGTGCAGCTTCCTCAGAACATCAAAAACCTCTCGTGGATTCTCGCGTTCTTCCAGCCATTTGGCGCACATCGAGATCTTTTGGTTCATGTTGGACACTGCTAACACCGACACACATCATTTCCTGTATTTTTTTCATGATAGGGCTACCTCTCTTCCTTCCCGCTACTATCTACTTTCTTCCTTTTCGACTTCCCCCTCCCTAGGCTTCTTCTTGCTCTGTTGCACTTGAGGCATTGAACATCCACATTTTCCGCGGTGTGGGGCAAAGAGCAGTCTAGGCGATCGAGCGTTGGCTGCCGTTCACTGTAAACGGCCCAGATGGGTTCATGGTTGCACAAGTTGCACCTCCCCCCGTAGGAGCGGTGAAGTTCTTGGACGAGCGCTTCTCTGTGCTGTCCCCCGTCGTCTGCTCTAAGACGCCCGGCCGTAACGTTGGTGTAGATGTAGCTTGAAACCTTCCTAGAAACCCATGATGCCCTCTCTCGGTGGGACATGTTGCTCTCGTTGCGGTGGACATCGTCGATGACCCTGACGTTCGAGGGTCCGGTCGCTCGACTTACAGCCGTGTACAGCCAGTGGACTTCAGCATGAAAGTGCCGCGCCTGATGTATGATCAACCTCCCTTCCACTGTACGACCTTGGACGGCGTGCACGGTACATACTCCTCGGGGGTGGAACAAATTTTCTCCCTCCGCCCGACAGAGTGAAGTTTCCTCCAAGCTAACGGCACCGTCAAATGCGCTTGCGACGGCGACCTCATCTGCCGAGGATCGGGTGATGCTGTAGGTGCGATTCTTGTGAACCTTGCCCGGGTTCCCGAGGTCCCTATATTGTGCACCGACAACCGTCTGACACCCCAGCCCATCCCAGTCCCCAGCTTCGAAGCACCCCAGCAAAACTCCAAAGGCGTGGAATCGAGCGTATTCTCTTGTGTACGCGAGATGAAAGTCTGAAGGGCTAGGGTCGTCAGCCTTCGGACAATCACCACCAAACCTCTCGATGGCTCGAATCTGCGCCTCGTCCATGTCGTTGTCCGCGGCCAAAATGTACAGGAGGCCATCATCCATCTCCACCTGGTCTTCGATAGTTTGTCTCACTTGCGCGGGAAGACGTGAAAGCACATGGGGAAGGCATTTTCGAGGATGACCTTCCTGTCGACGTTGTCCCTGCTAGTCGACATGCCGCTGCTGTCGCAAACGGGTTGGAGTTGGTGCGTGTCGTATATCCCGATTACGTGGGTACCGCTGCTATGGGCAGCCGCAAGGATCATGTTCGTGAGTATGCGAACATTGCTGTTGGATACATGTGCTGGATGATTTTGTGTCACGCAGACTGGTAAGATAACCGTTTGATAGGGGGCACCGCGATGATTCACGGGGCCCCTCCTTGCTGTGGGAGCCGCTCTTTGAGCACTCCCTCTTTCGTCCGTGTGAAGGACGGTCGTCTACCTCCCGTGAAGTTAATACATCACCAAAACAGTCTCACCCGATACATAAGTGGCGTAGGCCGCAAACAGATCATGCTTAAGGTACGGAGAGGCATATAGGCAGCTTCTTCGATGATGATTACGTCGACCTTGAGCGTTAGTATCGATCCCGCCGCCGTCCTCACGTAAGAATAATCACTCAGGTAGAATCCGAGCTGGTGGTCAGCGGTCTTACACTCCACCCGGATGGCAGGTTTGTGTAGGACGTGGGCAGGCTGTTGGTAGGGGTCAAGACTAGTCCTGTTTCGAATGTAGCCGTAGCAGCGCGGATAGTGCAGTAACTTTTCCCGGCCTCTCCATGTTCTCCGGTCACCGCACTGACGATCCTTGAACCTTGCGGAGACAACAAGCCGCGGAACAAACTTTCTAGTTTCGATGGTGACTCGGCCTCGCATATTTCCGGCCACAGATCGCGCTTGGTGTTCTTGCCGAGACGACGCCAGGCGTCATGAGCTTCTTCCATCGAATTGAAGACGGCGCCAACACCATCCCACAGAGGAATGACCCGCAGATGGGTCTGCGGTGGGCAGGGAATTTGCCTCGTTGCCGAGGGAAATGTATCTAGCTATAGCTTGACCGCGATGCCTTCGAACACCCTTCTCTCCCCACATAGCGGATTCTTCAAAGCCGGTTCAAACTTGAGAGTGCCGGGAGTTTTTTCGTTGCGGCTGAACAAATGGCTGGAGCGGAGTCTCATCTTTTCTTGTACCGACGAAGATCCCTTGAAGAATACTGCGTCACACTGGTAGCTAAAGTCGGACGCGCCGCATGATTCGAGAGCGTTCCTCGCTTCTAACACTCGCAATCGGGTTTCGTCCAGAATGAGCGCACCTAACGCCCAGAAGCCATCTCTATACCATGTCCGTCCTGCGTCGAAACAAAGGTACGCATCACCGGTGCGAAGTGACTCGATTCCAACGTCCCCTTGTCTCGTCCGAAGCTCGGCCTTGACGCGATCGACTTCACACAGGACAGGCACGATTTTTCCGCCCACAGCGGAAGCCTCGTCACAGCTCGTAACCATGACGGCATCTATCCTGTCCGCGTATCTCTGCTGCAACATTCCGCTGACCCGCACGAATATTCCTTTTATGAACCGGCGTGCACAGTCGACATCCTCTAGGAGGGGATCACCCAGCTCGTGCGCGAGCAGGTCTCTCACCAGGGTGGGGATGTGACACCTGTCGACCGTTCTCGATGGTCGCACGAAGTGGGTGACTATGGCGAGGCGCGGAGTCGATGAGGTCGAGGTAACGCTAATAGTTTCGACCGAAGACTGGCGTGACATCCGCGTTAAGGAATACGTCTGGCTCATGTAGTGCGTCCAGCTTGATGATGTATAGCGTCCAATCCTCGACGTTGTGGCTATCGAACTCTTACACCTCGTCCATATGGCCGGAAACGGGCACCGTCTCCATGTTCATTAGAGCCGTCGTGTGTGCCCCGTTGATGTCACATTGCCAGTCTTCCCTTCCGTAGGAAGTCCCTCTCGCGTCCTCTGCCCCGACGATAGGTCCCCGCCAGCATACCTCCAGGAGGGCGAGAAGAGACTGGCTGTACTGCGGGCATCTTTTCTCTCACAGTCCCGAGGCTTCCTTGGAAAAGGAGAAAAAGGAAAGGTGGCGTGTTTGTTCTGTTCAGTTCCTCTGTGTCCTTTCGCCTTCTCCCAAATTCAGCGAGAGCCTCGACCCGATTTTGACGTTTCAGTTCTTCGGGCCCGTACTCTGTATTGAGGAAATGGTCTCGTGCCTGTGTGAGTTTGTTGCAACTCCTCTGCAAGCCGCTGCTGAACTGTGTAGCGAACCGGAGTAGCATGTTTCCACACAAGTGTCCGGTAGGGTATTGGGCGTGTCACAGATTCAATGTTTCTATGGTCCGTTCGGGCAAATATTCACAATCTTGTTTTTCGCGATATCTTTCGAAAAAACACGATTTGGAAAGTGAAACAACTTTGGGCGTGACCGCGGCGTCGAGCTTCGTCGATATCCGATGAGTTTTTGGTGATTGGGTGAAATGCGACATTTTTGACCAAAATGACCCACGGAGCCCCCACCCCTCCATCCCCTCATGACCCCACGGAGACCCCAAAGTACACCACGACCCCCCCTCAACCCCTCCCTTCTACACGTCTATGCCTTCAGAACATCAGTTGAACCGTTGTCAATCCATATTTACATTTCTCGCCGCTCGTGGCACAGCAACTTAGGCGCTCTCACCCGCACTGAGAGTACCGCCAACATCCCTA